GGGGGGGGGAGGGGGTATTATTTTTTACAAATTAATGATGAGCGTTTTTTTGGAGTATTTATAGCTGTGAATTCCTCCGGAGGTTTACAGGGCTTAGGAATAAACCCCGTTGATGACCTGTGCAATCCAAATTATCGTTCCACTCCGTGAGGACAGATAGAGCTTCGGCCGGTAAAACGCGCGTCGCAATAATTATTCTCACGCTTATCTCTCTTGATTGTACTGAGTAAAATAAGGAGCTAGTCTCTAGCATAGCTCTACAAATAAACATATTAAAGGGAGTTGAATAAAAAGACATTACGGAGAAATGACTTAGATTTCTTTTTTTGTTTTTGGATTTTGGGGTGTATGGGTAGGGGTAGATATAGATCCATGATTACAGGTTTCAACATAAAATTGTCTGTTGTTTTTGTGCCACCATCCAGCAAACGATCACCGTTACGGTGACCGACGTGAATGACGTGACGGTCACGTGCGACTCTGTCGCCACACAGGTCATCCCTGACCCCAACTCCGTGAACTACGTGGTGGCCACGCTAGCGTGCTCGGACATAGACGACCCACCAACAGCCGTCACGTACAGCATTCTCTCTGAAGTGGCGCTGCCATCTGGGACTACTACAGCTGTATTCAGCGTAAGTACTTATGTACCTGTCTGTACTCTGTTGCGTAGGTTTGATCTCTTCCACACCCCCTCTCTCTGTCTCTCTGTCTCTGTGTCTCTGTCTGTCCCTGTGTCTGTCTGTCTGTCTGTCTGTCTGTCTGTCTGTCTGTCTGTCTGTCTGTCTCTGTCTCTGTGTCTCTGTATCTCTGTCTGTCTGTCTGTCTGTCTGTCTGTCTGTCTGTCTGTCTGTCTGTCTGTCTGTCTGTCTGTCTGTCTGTCTGTCTATCTCTGTCTCTGTCTCTATTCCCCTCACTATCAACTTCACTCTCTTTATTCATCCCTATTTTGCTTGTAAATTGATAATAATCCAGTCTTCTAGAATAATGATCATTTCCTGCCTGTTTCTTTGATACTATTATGGAAACAGACAGGAAATAATCATTATTCGAGATAATATCATTTTACCAGCACAAAATCAAACTTCATTGTAGCTTTGAAAGCACCGATGCTGTCTGTTGATATCGCTCTGGACCTTGGTGTAAATGGCTATGATTCTAACCCCAAAAGAGGCATAATTGGGATTTTGGTCTTCAGGGGAGTCTTGTTGCAGGGATTCTTGAAGTGACGGACTAAGTAAACGTGTTAGAAACTACTGTCAGTAAGGTTTCTTGAGGTAACACTATAAAAGGTTTTCAAATATCTTCTTGTAGTTGTGTTTAAGGCAACTGACCTCAAGGAAACGGAAACAAAAGGAGCCAACCTCTTGCTTCTTACACTGCTATTGTTAAAGAGAAACCTATTCAAGTGGTTATTACGCGAAAAGTTAAAATTACAGTATGCATGAAAGTAAGGAAAAAAATTGTCTTCTCGCATGCCACAGTGTCGAGCGTAACTCTTATATCACAGGCGCCGGTAAACTGTGCTATATAATTATATCATAGACGACACGACAAGAATGCAGAACTGAAAGGACATTAAAAAGGCATGTGGCATACTCCAATGGTCATCTCAGAGCTTCATCCTTTTACAGTTCAGGCAAATTTAATCTTGGCATGGAAAACATTGTAGTAGTCCCGCGACTTAAAAGAAAGAAGCCTTTCCCGCCGATATTGCTCTACAAGACCAGCGCTTGCCATTATGGGTGGTATCGTCTACTTTGTGGGAAGTGGTATTAATTGTGTTCTTACTTACTTTTACTTTTTTCTTCCGCTTGTACCGGTGGGTGTCGCGGGGAGATACAGGCGTCTGTCTGCAGCAAGGCGAGTGGCCTGTAGGAGGGACATCCCGTGAGCTCTGAGGGTGTCTGCCACAGATTCACTCCATCGTTGCCTTGGCTTTCCTCTGGCTCTCCATCCAGAATAATTGTGTTCATTGGTGGGAATCATCCGGGTAGTGACAGGTGTAATAACAAACCGCGTTTAGAAATTCATATTATAGGGGTGGTATTAAAACTGAAACCTCTTCAATGAGGCAAAGTGGATGCTGGCTATAAAAAGGATAACAAGCACGGCTGTAGAATCTAACGAATGGAGAGTTTATGGCCTTGTACTAGTCAATAACCACATTATGACCCAATGATGATATCTCCTCTGGACTACTACTACTACTACTACTACTACTACTACTACTACTACTACTACTACTACAATGGTAGTGAAAATTATAATGAAGCTACAGAATATAGGCTCTGAGCTCTCATCACAAACATGTACACGTAGCATCACACAAAAAGTACGTTGCGTTCTGAATTAAAAAGATCTAGATCTAGAGATATTTAAAAAAATCTAAAAACAAAAAAATGTCCCGTGACCACTGCTCCCCAGCTGACCGGATCGAACCTGGTGCTGACAGGCGACCCTCAGAACACAAGGTACCTGGTGACCATCGAGGCCACAGACGGCACGAACAGCACCCAAGTCGAAATCGTCATCATCACGGAGACCCAACTGAGACTCACAGCTCTCACGTCCCCTGTGACGGTGGACGAGGGTGTGTCGGGCAACACACTACACATCTTCAACTGGACTGACGTGTTCCCCTTCGCACGGGTCACTATTACGTCAGGGAATGACGACAACAAGGTGATCCTATACAGCACCTCGGGCGACCTGGTCCTCCTGTCTCCTTACGACAGAGAGACCACAGGCTCCTACAACTACTTCGTCCAGGCGTCCACCTCGTCCAATCAGGTGGCGACAACAACTCTCACAGTGGAGGTAAATGACGTCAACGACAATACTCCAAAGTTCGAATCCAGCATCTACTTCGTCTCCATCTCAGAAAACGCAATCGTTGGGACCACTATCATCACGCTCACAGCAACTGATCTCGACTCGGCTGCGTTCGGCCCTGTCGCTCAGTCTATAGTCTCTGGTAATGATGATAGTAAAATGATTTAGTAATAAAAACAGTGATTCTGATCAATATAAGAATAATAATGATAATAAGGAAAGCAATAATTGTGTCACGAATCAGGCGGTAATCAACACTTTAGACATTGTGTGAAGTTCATATTGCTTTTATCTTAAAACTCGTTAATTTTTCATGCTTCTGATTAGTAAAAAGACCCATTTTTTTCTGGATATTTTCGATTGTCAGAGGTGGGGGTCGCCTGATGTCAGAAGTAACATTTGCGAGGAAACGGCCGCTATTTTTTGGTGACTTCCAAAGCTTGAGTGTCCTTGGAAACTGAATATTTACTTTTTTGTGTCTTTCATCAACGTTTCCCTTTTAAAACCACACGTCCATTGTGCTTTTAAATGGGCATAAAAGGTGTTGAGCCATAAACGAATTCAACAAAAACTTACCAAAAGAGTGGGAAAACGACGTCGGTTTCTTAGATTTCATTATTTTTGACAAAAGCCTGTGATCCCCCAATACCACACATTAATCATAAAAAAGATATCAACTTAACAACCACAACAATAATGATAATGCACAAGCTAGTAGTGATTATAACAAAAATAGCAGTAAAATTCTTTTTTTTTGGTCAATGAACTCTATTTGAATTAGTTTGCAGCTCTGTAGGAGCAAATCAGACAGAGCCGATGACCTCTTTGGAACGCTTTAATGTTGTGGTCTCCAGAGTGTTTCCTTGAAAAAGACACGTTGAGACTAAGTTAAAATATCTATCTATCTATCTATCTATCTATCTATCTATCTATCTATCTATCTATCTAT